CCCTGAAATTTATCGAAAAATTGCCTCAAGGAGATATACCAAAGTGGGATGCACATTTTTTTTTTTAAAGATTTTATTTATTCAACAGAGAGAGACACAGCGAGAGAGGGAACACAAGCAGGGGGAGCGGGAGAGGGAGAAGCAGGCTTCCCGCCGAGCAGGGAGCCCGATGCAGGGCTCGATTCCAGGACCCTGGGATCATGACCTGAGCCGAAGGCTGACGCTTAACGACTGAGCCACCCAGGCGCCCCTGAATATAGATTTCTTAAGAGAATGGCCACTTAATTAAGCTAAGAACTCTGGAAGTAAGAATTTTCTTATAAGATCTTGAAGCTGTATAGAAGTCAGCACTGGCATCCCATTAGTAAAATGGAATCTCTAACTGGACAACTTAGCCTAATGAAGCGGCATACTTGAAAACAAACATTTATCAAATGATATTCTGTAAGTCTGACTGGTCTTCTTGTCTAAGTCGGCCAAATTTTACATCTGAAAACCAGTGAACAACCACATCTGGACCATTTCCAATTTTGTTACCAACTTGGACTTCCCTCATTATCAAGATCAAAACTGAGAGGGCATCTCACAACACAACTACAAATACAGCCAAATCCCTTCCAGCAAATCTCCCAGCTTGTAACATATAGTACCTGAGGTGGGATCACAATTATTTCTTGTAGAAACCGTGGGGGGATTTCCCTGAGTTCGGACACTTTCACAGATGTCACAGTGCCAGAGTCCAGGAACTGAACATCAAGAGCTCGGCTGCTGTGAACGTTCGTGATCTGCAATGAGATAAATGTTGGTTAATTTATAAGCATATCCAAAAGGCCAAAACACTTCTGTGCAATTACATTTTGTATAACTCTAAAATGCATATAAGGAGCAACAAAGACTATCAGTGTTCATTAAGTTTTCTTATTTTTTATTTTTAAATTTAAATTCAACTAATTAACATATAATGTATTATTGGTTTCAGAGGTAGAGGTCAGGGATTCATCAGTCTTATATAACACCCAGTGCTCATTATATCACGTGTCCTCCTTAATGTCCATCACTCAGCCACCCCATCTTCCCACCCCTCTCCCCTCCAGCAACCCTCAGTTTGTTTCCTCTGATTAAGAGTCTCTTACAGTTTGTCTCCCTCTCTGGTTTCATCTTGTTTTTATTCTTTCCTCTCTTCCCCTATGATCCTCTGCCTTGTTTCTTAAACTCCACATATGAGTGAGATCAAATAATAACTTTCTCTGATTGTAAATTTTCTTATTTTAAAATGTACCTATTTACTCAATAGGTATTCTTTTAGAATATATTTGATTTTAACATTGAATTGTTAAAAAATTTAATCCGTAGTAATCACTAAACTATAAACTAATAATAATCAATAAAATGCACAAATATGGTAATATTTACAATGTTCACAATTCTAGGACACTATTGATTATAAAACAATTTGATACACCATTATATACTGATTAAAGATGCAGTCTGTTCTCCAAAATATTAAAATATGAGAAAAAAAACTGTTGTGTCTTAGCAATGAGGAAATAAGGAATAGAGAGAATTCAGACACAGAAGTTTTCTTATAATAGGTATATACTATACATTTTTAAATAACATATTTTGGCATTTTATAGCTTTGTCAAAAAGCCCACTGACAATTTTTATCATTTGTCCTAGGAACTTGAAACTCAGAAAGTCATAGAGAGGTAAAATAAGTCCAAATTAATAATTCAAAAATGGGAAAATTACATACTGAGTCAAAGCAATAATTACCTGTGATCCAATGGCAACATTACAATATAAGATTCTGGGTATACCTTTAAATGTCCAAACTTCCCTTAATAAGCCTATGTGATATCTGCCATCATTGGATATATAGTTCGCATTTGCCAAATACAGCCCCATCAGGATGGTTATGTGGGCAGGGACTTCGTACCTACAACTTGCTCTCGCTGCCACCTTAAGAATGGCGGTGCTTTCAGTATGTGAGTGTCACGAACTGGACCACTCTTGGCATGGAAGTCAGACATACCAAAAGTAAAGCTTTTTTCTACTGCTCCAACAAAAATGCTTTATTAATAGCATAACTTTTTAATCTCTTAAGATGATGATAAACACAAACAATATTAAAACAATATCTTAAAATGTATTTTTTATTCAAACATATATCCTGAACACATGTATTGGTATGGCTGGTGTATAATGAATGCTTCTTATATCCAGGCATAACTGGTCAGAGACATATACTTCCACATCTCAAAGAGTTGCTAGTCTCATGAGAGATGATGACACAAATATATAATTAGAATATAATGGAGTAGGGCAATAATAAAGCTATGTACAAGGTACTATGAGAACATAGAGAATGGGTATCTGACCCAGCCAGGAGGTAGATTTTAGGGCAAGTTTTCAGGAGGAGGGAATGCCTAGAATTGGTACTTTCCTTTAAAATGTACTTTCTTCTTCTTTAGTAAAATGCCTTTATCATAGAAAATTTAGATACTTAAAAGAATGATATGAAAATCACTTATAATCTATGACAGATTACAATTATCCTCCTAGTCTTTTATCCATACATGTATAAAGAATTAGACTTATAAAAATTAGAACGTATTTGCACATACTATTTCATAATTGGCAACTTTTCACTAAATGTCTCAAAAATACTTCATGTCATTTTCTTCTATATCATTTTAATATTACATAAGTCTATCATACAGGTACATTGTGACTTATCAAACAAACCTTTTGGCTGGATAACTTAAATTGTGTAAATTTTTGCTCTTTTGAGAAACAATCATACTTACTGGACATTTGTATTTCCTTTTTCACAAATTAAAATTTCATAAATATCACAATTTCAGCTGGACTTTACATGATGAATGGGAGTAAACTAGGTTGGTAAGAGTCTAGTTAGGGGCAATCTGAACATTTCAAACACAGGGAAAAGGATGGGCAAGACATACATATTTCTTACATGTGGGGGCTACAAGCATTTTGGTTATGCTGGAATGTAAAGTGAGAGGCAGGGCAAGGCAGGGAATGAGGCTGAGAGAAAGGTAAAGGCAAGGTCCTGGAGAGCCAGACATTACGTCTTAAAGAACCAGATTTTACCCCGTGGATGAGTAGAAGCCAATGCCATGTCTTAAGGAGAAGAATGAGATGGTCATCTTTATAAAAAGCCACATATTATTGGTGATAACACTGGGTAAGGGCTTTGGAATCAGACAGATTTGGTTTTAATCTCAGCTTGTACTTTCTAGCTGAATGACTTCCCTCATTAGTAAGAAGGGGATCATAGGGCTTTATGAAGATTAAGTGAAATCAGTCATATTTTAAAAAAATTTTTGTGCCTGGGAAATAATAAGCCTCATTAAAAGTTGGATGTATTATTATTTGCTATTATTTACATTTTGGGTCACTCACTCTAGTGGCATGGAGCTTGAATGGAGGAAGATAAGAGTAAAGACAGAGGAACCATGGTATTCCAGTGATCTAGGCAAGAAACGACAAAGCTGTGAAAATGGCAGGGTTTGGTGATTAGTTGCACTGGCGGCTGAGGAAAATGCAGGAATCCAAGATAACTCTTCAGGAGCAGGCTGAATGGTTGCATGAATGAAGGTACCACCAAAACACAGACATAGGAGGAAAAAAGGATGGGGAAAGATAATTTTGGTTTTGGACACGCAGAGCTTGAGGAGTTTGCAAGATGGACAATCAGGCTGGATTTTGCCCAAATCTAAAGCTCATCAAGGGCTGGAAAACAAACTGGGGAGTCATGAGGACCAAGACAGTAACTGAAGCAACGAGATGGCATTGCCTAGAAGGATGCAGAGGCTGAGAAGAACCGTGAGGCATTGAAGAGAACAGGAGTTGGGGGCATTGACACTGACGCTGCAGAGTGCAGGTGGGGTGCAGGTTTGGGTGAAAAATAGGAGAAGCAATCAGTAGAACATCCTTTGGAAAATTAGGAGGATTTGATACCATGATAGCCTAGTGAGGAGGGAATTACAAGTCTCAACACTGTTAGTGCAGCCCAGAGGCCTGGTAAGAGAAGCCCAGAAAGACACTGGTTGAATTATGCAGCTAAGCTGCTGCTGCAAGAACAGGCTGTTGGAAAGCAGGTGGAAGTCAAGCAGCAGTGGCTGAGAGCTGGCCGGAAGGCGGCACAGAAAGTGAATGCAGACCACTCGGGATGGGTTTGGAGGAAAGAGGAAGTGACGGCCACTGAATAGCGTTGGCTGGATGTACGGAGTAAGTTCAGAAGGTGTAGGCACTAAATAAAGCTTAGGCAAGTTACAATGTCAAGAACAATTACATCATTTAAACACAGGATCTGCTTTTCATTAATCATTCTCCCTTCTCTAACTTTCTACGCTTCACTAAGAGAATGAACACTTTTGCTACCTCCAAGGCAGACATTGCACAATTTGATAGAAAAACAAAAATAATACTAGATATTTATCTAAAGTATTTGACATACACCAAAAAGGTATTTTGCCAAAAAGGCAGAACCTGATGCTACACAGGAAGAAACTCAAGCTGTCAGATGCTCTACAAAATGCTGCTACTCTAAAAATAGAACTACCCTATGACACAGGATTGCACTACTTGGTATTTATCCAAAGGATACAAACATAATGATTCAAAGGGGCACATGCACCCCAATGTTTATAGCAGCCATGTCCATGATAGCCAAAAAACAGAAAGAGCCCAGATGTCCATCGACAGATGAATGGATAAAGAAGTTGTGGTATAGATACAAAACGGAATATTACTCAGCCATCAAAAAGAATGAAATCTTGCCATTTGCAATGATGTGGATGAAACTAGAGTGTAATATGCTAAGTGAATTAAGTCAGTCAGAGAAAGACAAATACCATATAATTTTACTCCTATGTGAAATATAAGAAACAAAACAAATGAACATAGGGGGAGGGAAAGAAAAATAAAATAAGATGAAAATCGAGAAGGAGGAAAACCATAAGAGACCCTGAATTCTAGGAAACAAACTGAGGGTTGCTGGAGGGGAGGGGGGTGGGAGGGACGGGGTAACAGGGTGACGGGCATTAAGGAGGGCACGTGATGTGATGACTGGGTGTTATATGCAACTGATGAATCACTAAATTCTACCTCTGGAACTCTTCAGAGTGTAGGGATAGAGGGTACATACCTCAATATCATAAAAGCCATCTATGAAAAACC